CTGACCCAGAGACAACTCCTCTGAAAAACACAAAAACAAAAATACAACATGAAACAGTAAACTCACAATCACAAAATCAGACTCTAAACCAAAACGAGTTTCAGCAGAGTTTAAGTGTGGTTTTGAGCAGGTTTTTAGCGTGGGTTTTTAAGGGTGTTAAGGGGGTTAAGGGTGGGTTAAGGGTGGGTTTAAGGGTGGGGTTTAAGGGTGGGTTTAAGGGTGGGTTAAGGGTGGTTAAGGTGGGGTTAAGGGTGGGTTTAAGGGTGGGTTAAGGGTGGGTTAAGGGTGGGTTAAGGGTAAGGGTGGGTTTAAGGGTGGGTTTAAGGGTGGGTTTAAAGGGTGGGGTTAAGGGTGGGGGTAAGGGGGTTTAAGGGTGGGTTAAGGGTGGGTTTAAGGGTGGGTTTAAGGGTGGGTTTAAGGGGGTTAAGGGTTTAAGGGTGGGTTAAGGGTGGGTAAGGGTGGGGTTAAGGGTGGGTTTAAGGGTGGGTTAAGGTTTTAAGGGTGGGTGGGTTAAGGGTGGGTTAAGGGTGGGTTAAGGGTGGGTTAAGGGGGTGGGTTAAGGGTGGGTTTAAGGGTGGTTTAAGGGTGGGTTTGGGTTAAGGGTGGGTTTAAGGGTGGGTTTAGGGTGGGTTTAAGGGTGGGTTTTGGGGGGTTTAAGGGTGGGTCTGCGACGTGCGTATCGAGGCTCGCTTCATTTTGGGGGAGGACGTCCAAAGCCTCGGTGCCCGGCTCTGCCACGTGACCGATTCAGGAAGTGGTTCGGATTTTGTTGCGATTTCCATTTTCATCATTTCTAAATAATGATTTTTCATACATAGAAACACAGTTCACTGCATCACGACAATAAACAGGTTTGGCATCTTTCTTTATTTTGCTGACAGTTTTATTCACAGGCAAAATGCCACACACTTCAACTGATATTTTTGTGTCCAGTAGATGTCGGCCCGGGGGCCAGATCCAGCCCTCCAAGACCTTTAATCTGGCCCTCAGCTGATTTTCTACTAAAATATTTTAATTATATTTTCTATTAAAATCTTGTTAATTTTGTGTGGTGTTTATCACAGCAGCGTCTCCAGCGTCTCTGTACGTGGCCCCTCCCACCAGAGCAGCACAAATGAAGACTTGTCTCTTTCCAAACGCTCTTAAAGGACGATCGTTTTGACTGTTGACCGTGACACCCTCATCAGAAAAATGTCCAACATGAGAAAAGTGGAGCCGAGTGCAGGATTTTACAACAAAAATGGACTTATTCCTGTTTACAGACAAGTTCATGTTAAAACTTTGTGTTGAAATTGTATTTTTCTTAAAGTTTCAGGTTGTTCATAATATTATAATATTTTGTAAAAGAAAGAGTTCATCAATTAAAAAAAGATTTCTGTAATAGATTTGTGTTTCTCTGCACAAATATTTGAACTTATTGTTATTTTTGGGGTTTATATGACATGAGTTTTCTGATCCGGACACTTTGGATCAAAGTCGGTTGGACACGACCCCGGAACAAAATGAGTTTGACTCTCCTGGATTAGAGCAAATGAAGCTTCAAGAAGCTTTGTGCTGGACTGAACCAACTGGAGGAAAGTTCAATGCTTCATGAAGCTTCATCTGCCCGTCACTAGTTTTTAGCCTGAGTCGGTGGTCGGTGTGGTTTAGGTTCTCGGCTCTTGTTTCGGTTCTCGGCTTTGGTTTTGGTCTCGGGTCTGGGTTTGGTTCTCGGCTTTGGTTTCAGGTCTCGGCTCTGGTCTCTGTCTCGGCTCTGGTTTCGGTTCTCGACTCTGGTTTTTGGTTCTCGGCTCTGCTCTGGTTTTGGTTTTCAGCTCTGGGTTTTGGTTCTCGGCCCCGGTTTTCTGGTTCTCTGCCTTAGTTTTGGTTCTCGGCTCTGGTCTCTGGTCTCTGGTCTCGGTCTTGGGTCTCGGCTCTGGTCTCGGTCTCAGCTCTGGTCTCTGGTCTCTGGTCTCGGTCTGGTCTCAGGTCTCTGGTCTCTGGTCTCTGGTCTCTGGTCTCTGGTCTCTGGTCTCGGTCTCTGGTCTCGGTCTCTGGTCTCGGGTCTCTGGTCTCTGGTCTCTGGTCTCGGTCTCAGCTCTGGTCTCTGGTCTCGGGTCTCGGTCTCTGGTCTCGGTCTTGGCTCTGGTCTCTGGTCTCGGTCTTGGGTCTCGGGTCTGGTCTGGTCTCGGTCTCTGGTCTTGGTCTCGGCTCTGGTCTCTGGTCTCTGGTCTTGGGTGTCTGGTCTCTGGTCTCTGGTCTCTGGTCTCTGGTCTCTGGTCTCGTGTCTCTGGTCTCTGGTCTCTGGTCTCGGTCTTGGGTCTCTGGTCTCGGTCTTGGGTCTGGTCTCGGTCTCTGGTCTCTGGTCTCTGGTCTCTGGTCTCTGGTCTCTGGTCTCTGGTCTCTGGTCTCTGGTCTCGGTCTCTGGTCTCTGGTCTCTGGTCTTCTGGTCTCTGGTCTCTGGTCTCTGGTCTCGGTCCTGGTCTCTGGTCTCTGGTCTCTCGGTCTCTGGTCTCGGTCTGGTCTCGGTCTTGGGGTCTGGTCTCGGTCTCGGTCTCGGCTCTGGTCTCGGTCTTTTGGACTCGGTCGGTCGCAGGTGCAGAGGAAACAGTGGATCTTTGAGCTCGACTTCGTTAGTATTAAAGTCTCGATGTGACGACTTAATGAGACGGATTAAAGAGCAGAGCGTCTCCTCCTCTTCTTCATCCCTCCATCTCTCTCTTCTTCATCTCTCCATCTCTCCATCTCTTCATCTCTCTCTCTCTCCTTCTCTCTCCTCTTCCCTCTTCTCCTCTATCTGTTTATCTCTTACTCTCTCTCCTCTCTCGTTCCCTTTCCTCTCCCTCTATGTTTTTGTCTTTCTTTTTTCCACCTTTCTCTTCTTCCTTTCTCTTCTCCCTCTCTCCTCTCTCTGTTCTTTCTCTCTCTCTTTCTTTTTTTCTGTCACTGTCTCCTCCCTCTCTCCTTCTCTCCTCCCTCTCCCTGTCTCTCCTTACCTTCATCCTCTCCTCTTTCTCTCTCCCCTCCCTCTTTTCTCTCCTTTCTTTCTCTCTCCTCCCTCTTCTCTCCCTCTCTCTCTCTCCTCTCTTTCCTTCTCTCTCCTCTCTTTCCTTCTCTCTCTCCTCTTTGCTTTCCTCTCTCTCCTCTCCTTCTTCTCTCTCTCTCTCTCTCTCTCTCTTTCTCTCTTCTCTCTCTCTCTCTCTTCTCCTCTCTCTCTCTCTCTCCTTCTCTCTCTCTCTCTCTCTCTCTCTCTCTCTCTCTCTCTCTCTCTCTCTCTTCCTCTCTCTCCTCTCTCTCTCTCTTCTCTCTCTCTCTCTCTTCTCCTCTCTCTCTCTCCTCTCTCCTTCTCTCTCCTCTCTCTCTCTCTCTCTCTCTCTCTTCTCCTTCTCTCTCTCTCTCTCTCTCTCTCTCCTCTCTCTCTCTCTCTCTTCTCCTTCTCTCTCTCTCTCTCTCTCTTCTCCTTCTCTCTCTCTTCTCTCTCTCTCTCTTCTCCTTCTCTCTCCTTCTCTCTCTCTCTCTCTCTCTTCTCTCTTTCCTTCTCTCTCTCTCTCTCTCTCCTTCTCTCTCTCTCCTCTCTTTCCTTCTCTCTCCTCTCTCTTCCTCTCTTCTCCTTCTCTTCTCTCTTCTCTCCTCTCTCTCTCGTCTCTCCTTAGCTTAATCCTCTCCTCTCTCTCTCTGTCTCTTTCATCCCTCTCTCCATTCTTCTGTTTTTCTCTCCTCCCTCTCTCTCCCTCTCTCCTTCTTTTCCTTCTCTGTTTATTTCTGGGTTAAATCTGGTGTGAAATTACCACTGATTAAGACTCTCTGGAGCACATGTCTCTTCCTCCTCCTCCTCTTCTTCCTCTTCTTCTTCCTTAAATCATTAAATCTTTCTATCTCCACGGAAACCAAACCAGACCGAGTTCCAGGTCAGATCTGTGGAGAGGCGACTCCGCTCACACAGCGGTTTATTTATTTGTTTGGTTTCAACTCGTGTCAGAGACGTCAAACAGAAAACAAAAGGAGAAAAAAAAATGTATTTAGGTGGTTTTTTTGTTTGTTTTTTTGCAGTAGTTTATCTTAGTTTGTTTTTTTCAATTATCTCATTATTGATTTCTTGAAATGATTCATTATTAATTATTAGGGCCGGGCACGTTAACACGTTAATTTTGCGTTAACTACGCCGACAATTATTTTAATGCTTAACGCAGTTTTTATCCATATCCATTTTTGTTTATTACGACACGCAGTTTTTATTATTATTATTATTATTATTATTATTATTATTATTTATATTTTATTTTTTTATCATAAATGTCTGTTGCTCACTCGCTTTTATTTTGAAAATGTCCACCACGAGCTTTTCTTTAAGTTTGACGTTCTTTAAATTTTACACTTTTTTTTTTTTTTTTTTTTTGCAACGTGTCCAAGCCTCCGCGGGCTCCGAGCTCCGGTTCTTTTTTTCCGGTTCTTTCTCTGTCTTCTTCTTCTTCCCGACGTCCCTGAGGCGTC